GGGATAGATAATTACAAGAGGTTGTTTTGGTTGATTGAATAAAAGTCAGACAACTCTAAATTTGGACTGAGTTAATAAAGAATAATTTTTTCCCTAAGCTCTTTCTGTGGTACCATTTGTTTGAGTAACTTGAATTTGACTGACAATTTCAGAACAAATAAGAAGTGTATCCACGTCTTAGTGGCAGCAGTGCTCAGGAGATGGTGATGACAGGAATTAACAGGCGAAATTAAGACCGCATATGGTAGCTCATACCTGTTAATCCCAGGGATTTGGGGTCCAAGGCAGGAGGATTGCTTGAGGCCAGGGGATTGAGACAAGCCTGGGCAACAGAGTAAGACCTCATCCATAGGGAAAAAAAAAAACTTAGCCAGGCGTTGGAGGATAAGGCCAGAGGATCACTTGAGCCCAGGAGTTCCAGGTTGCGATGAGCCAAGATCAAGCCACCGCACTCCAGCCTGGGTGCCAGAATGAGATGTAGACTCAAAAAATAAAAAAAAATAAAAAAAATATATATTTTTTTCAAAGCCCAAATTGTCTTCCCACAGTTGTAAAACTAGTTTATGGCCAATGGAGAAGGTGAAAAACTGAAGCACAGCTTTGTAAACAAATTCAGACTAATTCTATGATCCTAATAGCTGTCAGCCTCAGATTTCCATTCTAAGAAATAAAAGTGTTAAATAAGCTCTGAACACCCTTTGGATTTATGTGTCTGTGCTTGCAGTTTAACTCACTAAAAGTGAATTATCTCATTATGAAAAAATATTGTTACGTATTTTGTTTTAACCTGTTTTTTCTTTTTGGTCTAATATTGTTGAACTTCACACTTATGTTCTGTTAACACTAGAGGTCAGGCTAAGAATAGTCCTGTTTCTTATATTATGAACCACATAAGATATTACAGATACTTTAGATATTTTGACTTTTTTTAGTTAGAACTTTTGAATTTCCATTATAATTGTTACATTACTCATTCACACTTTGTCAACCATAAAGGTAATGAAAGTTTTTTCTAATAACTAAAAAAACTAAAAAAATAAAAAGTATACCTTCGTTGTGTGTACTAATATTACAAATAAAAATTCAACAGATTTTTAAGTAAATCAACAACTTACATTTTCTTCACCTAAATATACCGTTATTATCTACATTTTCCTAACCTTACTCATTTATTTTTCTTTTACTTTTTCATATTTTACCCCCTTGCAGAATTACAAGCACTATGACAAAAGTAACAATTTACCACAACCTTGAAATAACCTTGAAAATCAAACAAAAGCAAAAATAAAGATGCAAAATTAATAGTATCACTTTAAGTAAGCTTAAGGCTCTAGGTAGCCTTTTGAACTTAACAGGAATTTAGGTGAACCTTATACATAAACAATCTCACACCCAAATGCACACAGAAATAGACTTAATACCATTTTTCAGAGAATTAGTAAATTCTTTGATGTCACACTTGGTAATCTAAAGTAAAGCCGGAAAAGGTATGAAAATGTGATTAAAACTCAGAAGAGGAGGTAAGAAAACATTAAGCTAGGGCTTATGGGCCATACTAGGTAGAACTGGTCTCTACACAAATATAAACAGATAAAATATACTCTTTGCATTTCAGAAATAGAGAACTTCTAGCCATTGGGGAAAACATAAATAAATGCGTCGTGTGTGTGTGTTTGTGTGTGTGTGTGTGTGTGTGTGTGTCCCATTCATTCATTTAGTTCACAGGTGCCTACATATTCTCAACTAAGTCTTTTTCTTTAGGCAGCATAAGCTATGCATGTAAATCTTCAAGAAATTTTTACCCCCTAAAACAGAAGGTTCTTCAAGAAATTACTATATCTTCAAAGAACCAATATTATCAACCATCTCCCTAAAAGAAAGTCTTTGCCTGGAGAATCACTAGATAAAAATCAAGATACCGTGCAGATGACGTGGGCGATTTTCCTAATAAGGTTGTTGTGTTGAGATAAATGCACTGAGCTGCAGGTAGAGGACCAGCTTTCCCGATGAATCATTTCCAGCATGTCCTCACCAGGCCTCTGCACTCTCTTAGCACTCAGGGGCTGGCCAGCCTGGCATCCAGACTGTTTGGATCAATTGATTGAATCAATTGACCTTTTATGTTTTTTTAATTGTTTCCACAATTTTATTGCTTCCCAAATTCCCCATCAGTGTTCCATTTTCTCCAGAGCATCTTTCCACATCAGACACGTGGAATATCTTTTCATCTATGGAAAATGAGGACTCCTCACACGTAGAGCTTGGAGGTGAAAGGTTAAGAACAGGTCAGCTATTCCTATAGTATTTCTGTTTCTGCCTAGTGAACAGGGGAAACCCCTACATTCACCTATGTCTTTTGTTTTTCCAGAAGACCTCTGCATTCTCTCTCCTAATGGCACGGTTATAATAGTACTCCTCGTTTTTTAAGTCAAGAGTTCGTTTCTCAATACTGCATTCACTTTTTTTTTTTTTCCTTTGAGACGTAGTTTCGCTATTATTGCCCAGGTTGGGGTGCAATGGCGCTCGCGCAACCTCCGCCTCCTGGGTTCAAGCAATTCTCCTCCCTCAGCCTCCCGAGTAGCTGGGATTACAGGCATGCGCCACCACGCCCGGCTAATTTTGTATTTTTAGTAGCGACAGGGTTTCTCCATGTTAGGCTGGTCTCAAACTCCTGACCTCAGGTGATCCGCCTGCCTTGGCCTCCCAAAGTGCTGTGATTACAGGCGTGAGCCACCGCACCTGGCCTGCTTTCACTCTTATTCACCAACCATACCATATACAAGTGAGGCACTTTTCATTATCTTCGTCCTGTTGATCCTAAACAGTTCTTCCCCCCAGGCTTTCTGAACCACAAGGTGGTTATGCTCCTGCCTCTAACTTGAAACAGCCTGGTCCATACCTCTCTAATGAAAAGAATGTGATTGTGCCATCCAGAGCTCACAGTAGAAGCAGATAGCAGCACCAAAAAAACACATTTTTTTTTTCTCTGTATTGCATCCTTGCCTAGCAAGATTAGTTTTGAGTAACTTTGGAAAATATCAAGTTGGATTGTTGACATGAACATCCAAATACGTGTCAAGAAAGAAGCAAGTTAAATATATTCTTTGCCATTCTGCACCTGATTATACTCTAGAAGGCACAGCACTGATACAAATCATAAGATGTTCAGTTGCTTTAGCATTATTAAGAAGGGATGACATTACACAAATGTGATTCGTATATTCTTCATCTGTAAAAATATTCATTGCTGGGTTCTCTTTATATATATATATTTATATGTTTATGAAAAGTGGCTTGGAATTTACTTATTAACAAAAAGTAAATCTACTGCAGTGGTTTACCATTTAAGAAGATCTTGCTGCAGATCTGTTTAGTGAGGTGAAAAAATCTCTTATTATTTATTTATTCTCTGGATATGTAGAGGATATGGGTTTTCGATACATTTATATAACATGAATTATATAAATACAATATTTTGCATTACTAAAAGAGATAGGTTAAAAAAATAAAGGTGTAATCTATTGAATGCTGCCAAATATCCAGCTCTGTATCAAATATATCATCAAATTTTCAAAACAAAGGAAACAGGTTCTTATATGATTCTCAGTTTATAGGGAGTGGCACTGAAGCTTAGAGATTAACTCATTCACCTACAATTACAGTGAGTATAGTGCTAGGCAGAGCTGGGATTCAGAAACTTCTTCTATCTGACTGTGGAAGGCCAAGTTTGAAACCCCTCTGTTTATCTCTCTCTCTCTCTCTCTCTCACACACACACACACACACACACACACACACACACACATTCAAATAGAAGACTTTTCAAAACACTGATGGCAGTTGTGGCTGCGTAGAAAAAGAACTCTCAGTCCATCACCTTCCCTGCCATTCCAGGTGCACGTACTTAAACCAAAGATGACTGAACAGGGTAAACTGCTAGTGGGCAACATAAAAACACCAAGGGTTTTTTTTCTTATAAGGAAATTTAATCAATACAAATTTAATTGAAATTTTCTTATAAGGAAATTTTCTTTTCTTATTTTTTTTTAGAGAGAGAGAGTCTCACTCTGTTGCCCAGCTGAAGTGCAATGGTATCATTACAGTTCAACCTTGAACTCCTGGGATCAAGTGATCCTCCCTCCACCACAGCCTCCTAAGTAGCTAGGACCACATGTCTGCACCAGCGCACCTAATTTTTGTTTGTTTGTTTTTGTGTAGAGATGAGGTCTCACTCTGTTGCTCAGGCTGGCATCAAACTCCCTGCCTCAGGCGATCCTCCTGCCTCAGCCTCCCAAAGGGCTGGGATTATAGGTGTGAGCCACTGCGCTCCTGACTGAAATTTTCTGTTTGCATTGGAAAAACAGAACATGCTAATGCATAACAATTTGGGAACTGGAGGAAAGGAGAAAGGCAAAAAGTCACCAAAAATATTACTGTCAACAATTCTATTTTTGAGGTTGTTTTTTTTCAAATCTAGTTGTTTTCTTTCCAATAGAGATGTAATCATGGTTTAAAAAATTGCATTCTGATATTGTATATTCTTTGTAAACACCTTAAATTATGGCATATTCATTCTCCAATGTTATTTTCAATAAGTTAAATTTACTCAGTTTTAAAAGTTAGTTTCTTCAACATTTTATTTTTATACTTTATTTCAAACTCACAGAAGAATTACAAGCATGGTACAAAGAACTATTGTACACCACTTACCAAGATTTCTTACCAAGCTTCACCATTTGTTACGTTTTGTCCCATATGATTTATCATTCACTCAATGTCTCTTCTCCCTTTCTCTTCCTCTTTCACTCCTTTTCTCCTATTCTTGTGTTTCCCCAACACCTGACCAAAAAAGTGGGTTGTGAAACCTTTAATTTTTGCCAGTTCCAGAGCTGAGTAATAGATCCAGGGTAGTTATTTTTTATTTTTCATTTTACAAGTGAAAGTGAACATATGTGTAAAGATCATTTTAAATATTTTCTTTGTAAATTCTTCATCTTTTTGTTCATATTTCTATTGCTTTTTTTCTCTTCCCCTGGTTTTAAATATTCCTTGTATTATTAATATTAGTTCTTTATCTGCTATATGTACTGCAAAGTATTTTCTTTCAATCTGTAATTTGTCTTTTAACTTTGCTTATGGTGATCTGGCCATATAAAAGTACTCTATTATTTGTTTTATTTGATTAAATTTATAGATTATTCTTTTATTATCCTCATATTTTCAGTGTTATTTAGAACATTTTTTCTGTACTCAAATTATACAGGTACTTATTCTTTTATAATTAATAATTTCAGGGGTAGATATTTTGAGAATATGTAAAATTCAGTTACTCAACACATTTTAGGTCTATTTATATCAATATAAAATCATAGTTTCCTCTTTTAATAAGTGAGCTGAAATATGCTACTATGATTAGTTATGTGATGCTTATATTGTAGTACACTGGCTTTTGTGCCTTTTTGACATGTCCCTACCATTATTTGGGTGCTTTCATGCTTTCTGGCACCCACACAAAAATGCCATATGTCCCAGCCTTAGATTCAGTCACTTCTTCAAAGAGCCGTGGTTGCTTTAGGTGGAGAATGTTCACTTCTCTCTAGATATCATCCTCATTCCAGCAGCTTCAACTACTGACTCTGGGCCACCACGGCTGCCTCCCCTTTGTAGAATGGTCATCTGCCTTGTTCTGCCGCACTAAAGAGCTTGCAATGAATCAGTCTGGAAGGAAAAAAAGAGACAAAAGAGGAAGAGGAAACAAAAAAGAAAAGGAAAGTAGAAAAAAGTTAGTTCATTTATTTTCATACTTTACATTTTTTTGCTATAATGGTTTAAACCTATTAGTTTTCTTCTGATTATTGCTTTCAATGTATATAATATGTAGTCTATTTTATCATTATGTTAAGATATTTTGTATTTTAGTTTGAATTATCTTCATTCATGGAGATTATTTCAAGCATTTTAAAATAGATTTTCTTTTATATGTACATTTTTTAAAGTGAAAGTAGATTATGGAGGTGTCAGTATTTTCTATTTTATTGCATTGCAGTCGGACAGTATTGTTCATAATACTTCTACATTATCCAACTACAGATGTTTTCTTATGGCTCAGGAAATCATTCATAGAATTTATAATCAATTTTTAATATTCCATGTGCACTGAAAATAAAGGTGCATCTTCCGTTAAGTAGGTGTACAGTTTGTTTTATATTTATACAATGTACCTTATCTTATTGATTATGTTATTTAGGTCCTCAATATCCTTTTTATTTTAATCACTCGATCTGTCATACTGCAAATGATATTCAAGTCTTCTCTTATTACTGTCTTTCTATCTGTTCTTCTTTCATCTTTTTTCATCTCCTTTAATTTCCTGTAGTTTCTCCTCTGTAAAGGTAGCAATGTATAATATTATTTGGTGTGTAGATAGTCATAGTTGTTACTTCTATTAGCAATTGTGGTTTTTATTATAAAAAGTGTCTTTGTCATACTTAATTTTTTGTTTATTTGACTTGACTTTGCTTAACAGGATCACAAAATCAGCTTTCTTGTTGTTTGCATTTGACTGATACATCCTTGAGTTGTCCTATTAGTCTTTTGAATCATGTTTTTTAGTTACCTTATGCCCAGAATTATAGCTTAGTATTTCTTTGTTAGCAAAACTCAAAGTTTTCTTTTAATAATTGAGTTAAGCCAATTCATATTTATTGAAATGACTAATATAACCCATTTTATAGTTCCTATAACTTTATATAATTATAATTGCATAATCATTGTATGTATTGTATTATATTTGTTTTGTCTTCTGCATTAGTTGTATTTACTTTGTTCTTTTACATTTTAAATTAAAATTTGATGTTTAGAATAGTTAGTATTTTCTTCTAGTGATTACTTTTTTACTTTTTACTTTCTAATGCTTTCAATGTCTTGGTTTCTTATCTAAACATTTACTATCAGGTTTGTTGATTTTTAATAGTATCTTTTGACTCCTGCCGATTGCCTGTATAAAAATCAATGAGCTTATTCTATGTTCCTCTTTTTCTTTTTTCCATTATTTTAGTGCATTATTTTTACTTTATCAAAATACATAACACATAAAGTAACACTCGTTCGCCATTATTCCACCTTCTTCCCCACTTTAGCCATAATCTTAGTTCTATACTTCAATAAATCAGTGCTCATCATGATGTCTTTTGCTGATGATCCCCCCACCCCTCCAGTCATCTCTTGGTTTTAAAGCTCTGATAGATTAGATTCTTCAAAAAGAACTGTGAGCACTGTACAACCTGGGTTCTTGAATGTTTACAATAATTTTCTTCACAGCCTTGATACTTAAATAGTAGTTTTGCTGAATGTAAAATATTTGATTCACTTTTTTTCCCATGAAAATGCTGCTATATTATTGTCTTGCTTTTCATGTTGCTTTTAAGAAATCTGATTATCTTGTCTTTTTAAATTACTGATCCTTTTGCCTATAAGTCAAAAGGATTTGCCTGGCAAGGATTTTTTAAATCATTACAGTCTTACAGATTTATTAACATACTTCTTGGGACTGGTCATTGCTAAGGTCTACCCTTGTCAGTTCTCTCCCCTTTGAGGGCATCCCATGTCAAAACACACCTCACCAAGGCCAGTGAGGGCAAGAAATTCAAAGGTTCATTACTCATTCAGGGAAACTTAAAGGAGTCCCTTTGATGTCATTTGCTGTCAAGACCAAGGGAGAGAGATGGAGATCCTGGATGGGTACACAAACACATGCACACACACATCCCGGGAATATATAAATAATGCCAAAGCAGATTAATTCTAGAATGGTGCTAGTGTGTGAGAAAACAGATAACAAAGATTAGCAGTAGTAAATAGGGCTAGGATAGTCTTTGGTTCTCTCTCCAGTAGGTGTTAACGATTTCGCGAAATGTCGTTTACTGTGACTTATTCCTTCCAACTTTATTTCTCCACAGTCATTTCAAGAAAAGTGCTCAGGAACCTATTAGGTGTCTTCCATATTTAAAAAGAGTCTCCGCCGGGCCCGGTGGCTCACCCCTGTAATCGCAGCACTTTGGGAGGGCCGAGGCAGGCGGATCATGAGGTCAGGAGATGGAGAGCATCCTGGCTAACACGGTGAAAACCGGTGTCTCCTAAAAATACAAAAAATTAGCCGGGCGTGGTGGCCGGGGCCTGTAGTCCCAGCTACTTGGGAGGCAGAGGCAGGAGAATGGTGTGAACCTGGGAGACGGGGCTTACAGTGAGCGGAGATCTCCCTGCTGCAATCCAGGCTAGGCGACAGAGCGAGATTCTGTCTCAAAAAAAAAAAAAAAAAAAAAAAAAAAGTGTTTATTTTATCTCCAGGAATTTTTATATTATGACTTTTTATATACTATTTTTATTTTTATATATGACTTGTTTGCTATTAGCCTGCTTTCTACTTATTTAGCTACTTTCCTTCTCACCCTTTTTATTTCTTATTATAACTCATTTTCACTCTCTTGGTAATTTCCTACCTTTCTCCAATGTCCCTTATTAAGTTTTTATTCTCCCTCGGGTTCCTAATAATTTAGTCATCACTGCTGATGAAATGTTGTCTTCTCTCTCCCGCCCCCTGTTCCTCATCCCCTCTCATTCCCTTATCTGCTTCCTTCTGCTGCTTCTTAGAATTCAATCAACTTTCATTTCATTTCTTCCTTAATATATGAACTTCTTATTCTTGTTATATATATCCACAATTGCTTGTCTGAGGCTGTTTAATTTAGTTTGAAATATCGTGTTAGGCTCTTCTGCTTTGTGGTTGGTTTCTTGAGAGATAATTTTCATCAGGTAAAATGTCTGCTTCTCACATTGTTTTTCTTTTTTAGTAACGGTGTAGATAAAGGCTGTTTACATTTATGCAATTTGTGGGCAGAATGCCAGCAGGTTTGGTTACAAGTTTCCTGTATCAAGAGCATCTTCTTAAGTCAGTGTTGGCAAATGCACATCTTTAAGAGAACAGATGAGATCGGGCACGTTCAGGGTGGTATGGCCTTAGACTGCACATCTTTAATGATTCTCCTTGTTTAGTTTGTTTATTTGGTTAGTGTGAGAAGAGACTGAATGTCCTGGATTTTATTTTATTTTTTTTCTAGCAAAATCACAATATTTTCCCTTTTGCTTCTTTTCCCCTTCTCCTTCCATTCTCCAAAGGATGCCTCTCCTTTTATTGTACTCTTACTCTTTGGAAGCATTGCCTCTCAATTCAGTCACCACGCATCCCACACACTATTATATCCCTTCCCTGCAGCCAGTGCACTTATTTACCAGAAATATTGTTCAGTATTTTCACACTTACAGTGGACGCTTCCTTTCTTGCAGGGAGAGGGGGGTGGATTTTAGATCAGTTGTAGGCTCGCTCTTCTCTCATTCCCTCTTCCTCAGCAGTGTTTCCAGCATCCACCCCCAGCCCCACCTTTCTGCAAAATTTGAGAGATGGCTCTGCGAAAATAGGCATTTTTTTTTGTACTTACAGTGAATTTGAAGTTTGTAATGTTCTCTGAATTCTAGTTATGCTATTTGCCTGATTTTATATGTTATATTGAGCAAAAGATACTACAAAGGAGTGGTCAGTGAGGATAATACAGTGTCACAAAGCCAAGGAAAAAATTTTTTCAAGAATAAGGAAAAGATCAATATGTCAAGTGCTGCTGGGAGGTTGATTAAGTTGAAGGCTGAAAGCTAACCATTGGTTCAGGCAGCCTTGAAAAGTCTCACTGTTGAAAAGCCAGCACAAAAGACCTATTGACATGGGATCTACAAAGAAAACAGTGTGAGAAAGTGGATACAGTAAATGGAGCAAGTACAGAGCACTCATTTAAGAAGGCTTATTATAAAAGGCCAGATGCACATGTGGTAGTTAGAGGGCACTGTGGGGTCAAGTGTTTTTTTTTTTTTCACCTTTAATTTAAGCATATATACTTACAAAAGTGCACATATTTTAAATATAACTCTTGATGAATTTTCAGAAACTCAACAGCCTGCAGATCAAAGAAAAGAGCATTACTACATCCCCAGAAGCCCCCAGTGCTCCATGCACTCAAAAATTACCCCCAAAAGGGCAACCCCATACTGCAGTCCAACACTAGAGGGTTAGGTAATCTTTTCTTTCCGGTTTCCTTTGCCGTGTATTATTTCCTGAGAGAATTATTCAGTTTGTTACAAGTAGTTATAGGTTTTTCATCCTCACTGATATTTAATTTTCTGTTGTCTGGATATATGTACTATAATTTATTTATCCATTATAGTGTTGAAGGGAATTTGAAAAGTTCACAATTTTGGATGATTATGCATAGTGCCACTTTGTGCTATTAATAATTTCTTAGTTACTAGTCATATATTTTCTAGTACATGGATTTTGGTGACTTATGTATGAATTTCCATGGGGCTTACACCTGGGAATCAAATTGCTGAATCATAGAAAAGACATATATTAAGAAACTATGGCCAAAGTATTCTAAATATTTTTTATTGAAACACTTTATAAGCATTTCAGTTGCTATTTTTGCTAAAACTTAGTGGCATTTTCATTTCATTTTATCAATTGTGATATGTTATTTACATTTTCCTGATGGCCAATGAGATCATATATTTATCGGCCAATTGGACCAGATGTAGTATCTTTTAAAATGTGTCAATTGTCAACTTTTCTTTTTGGTTAGCTCTCTTATCCTTACTGATTTTTAGGGTTTGTAAAC